TGATATTAAATATTAATTAAGTAATTCAAATAATATTAATTATTATTGTAGGCAGCACAGCAAAAAGGTTGCCGGTTCGAGACCCTGGTTTCTGTGTGGAGTTTGCATGTTCTCCCTGTGTTGGCGTGGGTTTCCTCTGGGTGCTCCGGTTTCCCCCACAAGTCCAAAGACATGCGATACAGGTGAATTGGGTAAAACAAAATTGCCCTTAGTGTATGAGTGTGTGTGTGTGTGTGTGTAAATGTGTGAGTTTATGGGTGTTTCCCAGTACTGGGTTGCGGCTGGAAGGGCATCCGCTGTTTAAAACAAATGCTGAATAAGTTGGCGGTTCATTCCGCTGTGGCAACTCCTGAAAAATAATGGACTAAGCCTGAAGGGAAATGAATGAATAAATGAAAGATTATTATTGTTATTATTGTTGAATTTCTTAGATATACTGATCAACAAATTCACAACAAGCACACACCATCAGAAAAGTGTTCATTCCCCCCACCCCAATCCAACAGTACAGTCTGAGCATGATTGCCTAAATCTGGTTAAAGTACTGTAGTAAAGTACTGTTATAAGTAGTCATTGTGGGGTAAACTATAAGGCTGTGTATGTGCCTCTAATGAACTTGCGCATGAATAAATGTGTTAATGTGTTCTTTGCTACATGTTCGCAGTGACTCTCGCCCCCGCTGTATGAGGTGGATTAGAGAGGCAAACAAGGCAGTCTATTGTACTGGAAGCTGAAGACGTGCATCACTCCCCGCTTTATACATGATTAGCAGGCTTCCTTCCTACATTCATGATAGGATTTGGACTCAGTACATGAAGTCTTAAAACAAGCACGTAACTGGAAATACCTCTGGGATTGCTGCGGTATGGAGTATCACAACATATCAGTTTGGTTTGTTGAGGCTGAAGTTTGCGATGGGGTGAAACATATCTGAAATATTAACTTAAAGATCGGTCTTTCAGCCTCTGCATTTCACATGTAACATCTTCTGCTCGGTTGATGGTTGGAAACAGCAAAATCTGCAGTTTGATGATTACTGCAGTAATATGCAATGTCAAACTCTATTGTTCATCTCTGCAGATCTGCAATGCCCTCTGGTGGCCTGAACACAGACTGTTTTGTTTTATCATTACACATTTCTGGTGATTTATGAATAAGTCACTAAGAAAAAATTGCCTACTGTCGATATTGATCCTGTATGGTAAATATGAGAGGGAAAGGCCATAAAAAAAAGAGTGTTTATTGTTTAAACCCATGGATCTTTTGCTCAAAGTTTGTGGTCTCCTGTTATTATGGAGAATAAACATTTGCAAAAATATCACCATTTTATTAAAAAAAATATATAAAACTTCCGTTAATGTGCAAACAATGAATTCACTGTTTACTATTTTTGCAAATTACACGCTATTTAGCTGTAAAATAAGCTGTGTTTTACTGTAAGACAGGTATGCAATGTTACTGTATTTTAAAGTTGCATTGTAAAAATTACTGTATATTTTGCCATATATATATACAATACTGTAAATACATAAAGCATGATAAATGGTGCTGTAAACGTAAATACAGTAATTTTGGTGTTATTTATTTACGGTAAGTTACAGAGGAAAGGTTGCACAACAACTACAGTTAACAATTTTTGTAATTACACAGTATTTAGGTGTACTACGAACTGAATTTTACTGTTGGACAGTTATGCAGTATGTTACTGCATTTTTAAGTTGCATTGTGAAAATTACTGTATATTTTTTCAGCAAAGATGTACAGTACTGTAAATACATACAGCAAGATGAATGGTGCTGTAAATGTAAATACAGTATTTTCGCTGTGATTGATTTACAGTAAGTTACTGGTAACATCTGCCAGTAAGTTACTGTATATTCTACAGGAAATTCTTAACAATGTATATTTCTGTTTGATTTTACATGTGTTTAGTACACCAGGGAACAGGTAAAAGTGCCATTTTGATTTTGAATTTTATACACACAAACTAAACTCATTTAGACTGCATCTGAAATCACACCCGTATGCCCTTATTCCCTATTCCCTACATTAGTCCTCTAATATAATCCACTTGAAAGAGTGAATTTAAATGAGTGAATTGGAGCACCAGAAAGGATGCCATTTTGTTTGATGGCTGTTAAATCCCTGAGATGGATTAGATTTTTAACTTTTTTGTCAATTTTGGCTATTCTCTAGCAGTTTGAGTAGAGAGTAGCTCCTTTCCTTTTTTGGTTGAGTTCATATTGTAGCAATAGTGTCTTGAAGAGGGCGGGGCAAGTCAGATACTAGAAATCATTTGATTGGTCAGAATATTTGATGAGATTCTGAGGTATATGAGGTGATGACCAAACTTCGCTTTAAGATATCCTTAAGTCTAACATACTGATACTAACATCTAAAAAAAAACTCTATTCTATGAAGACTTTAAAGGGATAGGGGTCATTTTGCACACAGCCTCAGTCATTCATCACAATGGGCAAGAATAAAGACACTGCTGTGATTTGTGGCAAAAGGTTGTTGAGTTTCCAAAAATAGGATGTGTAATTACGAAAATAGCACTGAATATCCATTAGGGAAATAATAAGGAATCTCCTGGTGAAACTGGGAGTGTAGTGAATCAGCCTGGAAATGGACATTTGTCTATCGTATCTTAACACACTGTTAAGGAGGATTTGAGTGGCCAAAAATAAATCCAAAGAATCACATCTGGAGAACTGAAGTAGTTAGTTGGGCCAACCCCATCAATTCCCAATGGATAAAATCAAGTCCAGAGTTACGTTTTGTTCTCTTTCCCATTGAATGTCTTGATAAGTTGGAATTGGGTGTTTCTCGAACCATTGTTCTTTTTTTGTACCTTGATTTGTCTTCACACACCACATATTTTGTTACCTAATCTCAAGCATGCTATTCAACAACAATGTAATCTTCAAGCACACTAACTTTATAAATCAATGGGTGCATCTCAATCAGCTCCTTTGTTCACTAGTCAAGGCGTGGGTCGACGAGTGACCATTTTAAATAATGTAGGAATGCACAATATATCTGCAGCTATGTTGATATTGGCTGATAAATGCCATTGTTATTGGGCCGATAACAAAATTCTGATATGTTTAATCCTTAATTTTATTTATATAAAGGAAAGTATTGAAAGGATCAGTTTATTAATGAAGTCCAGAGATCAGTTGAAACTTGAAGATTTTTTGAAATTATGCAAAATCCAAATCACGCCCATTGACTTGTGTCCTCTGTTGTGGAAATTGCGTTTTCATGAATTCTTTACATTTTTTTAGCTACTCTGTCAAGTCCTGTTGTACTGTTATAAGGACATTCTGGGCTTTCTAGTGATATGTCATTTGATTGGCTGGCATGCTAGGAACCACTTTTTACACTGCATTCAAAATGGCCGACATACAAAAATTCACATTTTATGGGAAGGAGAGAGGCATGTAACATTTTGCTTTATAAATGTTATTTTACTATTATTATTACATATTTGTTTGTTTATTAAAGTGTCAGGAACTATACATTAAGCTTTCAACTTGTTTGTGTTTATAATCCTTTTTTAAATGTCCACTATAGTGGACACCAGGACCATCTTAATGTAATTAATGACTGCATGTTGTAGGGGGCAGAACTGAAGCAGAGAGGATGCTTTATAAGATAGACAAGGGAGACTCTGATTTAGAGTCTGACAATCAGCCAATTAGAGAAATAGAGACAATTAGAGAATGACAATCAGTTTTAAATTGCTTTTATGTTAAATTTGTTTTGGATTAACATCACTTCTTTTTTTTTTTTTTTGAGTTTGGCTCTCTTTTAGACTAAACTGTTTCAGGAATTTCAATACAAAAGGGGAAAAAAAATTTTGTTACATCAGTATTGGATTAATATCCCGTTACAGCCATATTCTGCACAGTTTGTTGTCTGAGTGGCGGTCGTTTCAAACTAAAATGGTCCTGTGGTCCACTGTAGTGGACATGCTGTAAATTTAAAAAAAAACAAAGTGTAAAAACCCTTTTTTTTTAACCCAAAGGATGTAGGATATCACAGAAAAAAAATTCTTTGGGTCTCAGGAGGAACATTATTTGTACCACCATTTACTAGGGTTGCACGGTTTACCAATGCTATGGTAGTATCGCATACTATGGCTCCAAAATACTGGCGGTGCCACTGTAGTTTGTTAACAGTAGTATCGTCATTTATAGTTTATCTTCAATATATAATGTTACCTGTGGAAAAGTCACTAAAATGCTCACACATTTGTGCAACAATAGAACATTTTATTTGAATAGTCTGTGGAGCTCTTTAAGGTTACAAAACTGTGTAGAGCCTATTGCACGTTTTCTAATGCTTTATTTCAAACGCATATCTAAATCAGTTCATTTCTGTTCCTGTTGATATGATTTATTAGCGACCACAACAGTCTCTTTCAACATACAACTAACAAACAGAAATTTTGAATTACTTTGGATTGTTACCTGAGAAAACTGAAAAAAAAAATAGGTGGAAAACCCAAAATAGCAGCCGGAAACATTGAAACAATTTTTGACCACTTCATGTAGCCTAATTATGTTGGAGTTTCTTTTGTGACAGATTTTATTTTGTATAATCTGTATTTTTTTTAATGTATTTTTCTTTGTGTTTATCTACAAAATAAACCCAAAAATTAATACATTTTAGGTAAAGTGGGGTGCAAATAATACTTTTCGGCCTTAAGGAAATTATGAATTACATTTAAGTAAGCCTATTATAACGTAAAATATAGTATGTCTGACAATTTTCTTTAAAATTTTAGTTATGAATAACATTATCGCAATACTACTTGTTATCGTGATACTTCAGCTGTTATAGTATTGTAATATTAATTAACGGTATCGCAACAACCCTACATGTACCTTTTAGTCTGAGAGTGTAGACAACTGAGAAGGGGCCTCTTCGTGTATTTTTTCATAGCTGTTTATTATTGTATATTGTTTGTGTGTAAATCCTCTCCTCTTCAGGTCCTGTCAGCAGTATCCTGGTCAACAAATATGGAAGTCGTCCTATCATGATTTTAGGAGGCTGTCTGTCAGGAGCAGGGCTCATCGCTGCCTCATTTTGCAATACCGTTGAGGGCTTATACTTCTGTGTTGGTGTTGTGGGAGGTATAATTAAAACAAAATGCTATTTCTTTAAAAAAAAAAAAACTACTCTCTCATCCGTTGCAATTTTGCAGTAATAGCCATCCTGCTGATGTCCCCGTGGACCTGATTTCATTTTTTCACAACCATTTGTTTTGATGTTTTCCAGGTCTGGGACTCGCATTTAATCTCAACCCAGCTCTCACAATGATCGGCAAATATTTCTACAAAAAGCGTCCAATTGCTAATGGCATCGCTATGGCAGGAAGCCCGGTCTTCCTGTCAACTCTAGCTCCTCTAAACACATGGTTCTTCGATCAGTTTGGCTGGAGAGGGAGTTTCTTGATCCTGGGTGGACTTTTGCTCAATTGTTGTGTCGCAGGATCACTCATGAGACCCATTGGGCCAAAACCCCAACCTGCTGTTAAGGCCGACAACAGTAACAGCCGAGCCAAAGAGCGAAAGACGGTGGTCGAGGTCATCAATGGTTTTATCGATCTGACACTCTTCAAGCACCGTGGCTTTTTGCTTTACCTTTTGGGGAATGTGGTCATGTTCTTCGGCCTCTTCTCTCCTCTTGTCTTCCTCAGTAATTACGCCAAGAGCAAGCAAATTCCCAGGGAGAAGGCAGCTTTTCTGCTCTCTATTCTGGCATTTGTTGATATGGTCGCACGGCCGTCAATGGGAATAGTCGCCAACACAAAATGGGTGAGACCGAGGGTGCAGCACTTCTTCGCTGCTTCTATTCTGCTCAATGGTGTGTGCCACTTGCTTGCGCCTCTGTCCACAGACTACACCGGCTTTGTGATTTATGCCATCTTCTTTGGGTTTGCTTTTGGATGGTTGAGCTCGGTGCTGTTCGAGACCCTCATGGATCTCGTCGGGGCTCAGCGGTTCTCCAGTGCTGTCGGACTGGTGACAATTGTGGAATGTGGGCCGGTGTTACTGGGGCCTCCTTTACTAGGTAAGCATGGTGTGGGTATACATCTTATAGATTTGATGGCAACATGAAATCAGAATTAAAATTGCACTTGTAATATTTATGGAGTGATAATGTCTTCCCCTCCACCTTCATCTCTAACCAAATAACATGTTTACTGGTGTGATGACATGACAAGCTGTCAATCCCTGGAGATCCACCATTAGAAAACCAAAACCCTCCTGAAAATGACAAAATTACACTAATTACAAAGAGTAAATCAGGTTTGTAAATACTTGTTCAGGAAATTGATTCACTGATATATAGTTAAAGTCAGAAATATTCGCCCCTCTTTGATTTATTTTTGTTTAGATATTTCCCAAATTATTTTTAACAGAGCAAGGTCATTTTCACAGTATGTCTGATAATATATATTTTTTTCTAGAGAAAGTCTTATTTGTTTTATTTCTGCTAGAATAAAAGCAGTTTTTAATTTTTATGAACCATTTTAAGGTTAATATTATTAGCCCCTGTAAGCTGTATATTTTTTCGATAGTCTACAGTTTTTTACAGTTTTACAGTTTTTTAAAAAATAAATAAATAAATAAATAGTAACTTAAAATTACAAAAGTCCACAGAAACATCTGTTTACAACTAAAATTTAACCTAAAATCAATTTCAAAACAAAGCATATATATATATATATATATATATATATATATATATATATATATATTTTTTTTTTTTTTTTTTTTTTTTTTTTTTACTATAACTTTTTTAAGTAAATTTATGAATTAATATTTAAACCTTTTATGAGTCACATAACCTAAAAAATTATTAAACATTCTGATTAGTTTTTCCCTTAAAATCATGATTTTCATTGAAAAAGTTTTGAAGCATCTGCATCAACTGCTTTTTTTCCAAGAAGAAATTTTGAACTAAAATCCCAATGTTCATTACTAAAGTCTACAGAAGCGCCTGCGTCAACTACTTTGACCTTATACACTGATTTTCCTTTTTGCATTCTAATTCATTTGAACTTAAAATTTTGATGTTCCCAAAAACAGAGAAATCTCTGCATCTATTAATTTTTAAACTAAGAAATTACATTTACCCCAGAAATACATTTTCGGATACGTTTTTCACAAAAGTGTTGATGTGTATAAAAAGAGCCCAGAATCACCTTAATCAATAGTTTTTAATAAGAAATCAGGATAGATTTTAACTCAACCCAAAGAAACTGTCAACTAAATGTATTTGACCTAAATGAATTTTTCCTTTTTCCATTAAGGTTGTTTTTACGTAAAATATTTATTTACATATTTAATTAATATTTATTTACAAGTTAGCACTGGCAGCTAGCTCTCTGCTACTCTCACATGGTCGCATACTGAAGCTAGGCAGGGCTGTGTCTGGATGGGAAACCATATAAGAATGCTAGGTTGCTGCTGGAAGTTGTGTAGTGAAACCAGCAGGGGGCGCTCAGGGCCTGTGTTGGTTCTAACAGCCCAGTATATTGATGAGGACTATAGTGCTCAGTGAGCAAAAAAAAGAGTAGGGGTTTAGCCCTGGCATACTGGCAAAATTTGCCCACTGGCCTCTGGCCATCATGGCCTCATAACCACAATCATAAACACTCATCTCATAATGTCTCCTCTCCACCAATCAGCTGGTGTGTGAGCTGGTGCAATATGGCTGCTGTCGTGTCATCTAGGTGGATGCTGCACACTGCGGTGGATGAGGAGTAAAGTGCTTCGAGTGTCTAGAAAACCCCAAAATATATTTAATTCGAAACAAATAAGACATGATTTATTATCAGCCTTTTTAAAATAACTTTTATTTAATTTCATTAAAACTAATCATGTATAATGGATTTTTTTATTATCACATTGTCTGCCCTTACAGGGAAGTTCAATGACATCTACCATGACTACAAGTACACTTACATGGGCTGTGGGATTGTCCTGCTGATCGGCAGCTTGTTTTTGTTTGTCGGAATGGGCATCAATTACAAACTACTGGAAAGAGAAGCAAAAGAGGAGTCCAAGAAAGCCAATCAGCATGATGACCCTGGAAAAGAGGTTGAAGAGGCATTGAAAGCAGCTGAAGACAATGCTGCAGAGGAGGCTGTGTGACACTGCTCGTTATTCTTGATCATCCTTACATTTCTGTACAGTCTATGGATTCGATTACAGCCAGGTCTCCATCTTGGACTATACAGGTTACAGAGACAGTGATGCAAACATTTCAGTGCCTTGCGTAAGCACATGGCCATGCACTTGATTTATTTTTCATTTTATTTTTAGAACTTTTCTTTAGTTCACAACATACTGTATGCCAATACTGTAGGAAATGAACTGTGGTATATCTATTTTGAGGCATTTAGTGTACACTGAGAGAGATTGAATCATATCATATAAGGAATTTATCTATCTTTTTTTGGATTTCTGACAAATAAGGCACTTGAGAAGTTAGAAAGTGGTAGATATGCACATTGTTTCGGTCTGTTAGTTAAATATATAACTTAACAAATGCACTACCAGGCTCAAAAAAGACACAGTTATGTTGATTAGATTTTTATTGAATTAATTAAAATGTTTCTGACTTGTTAAATGTTTGGCAGCAGTTATTTTCACCCCAACTGATGCAGTATAGCTTTTTTTCTTCTTTTAAACAACTATATCTGTAGATGTTATATGTTCCAGGATGTTAATGCCAATATTTATCTGGCTAATATTCTAGAATAACTGTTTATTTTAACACAGGAATGAACCACCAATAACCTGAACCCCACTGAATATCTTTTAGATGTTTTGAGTAAAATGTGAAAGACTTTGTGTGTGTGTGTGTGTTTGTGTGTGACACTAAATATGGGTTTTCAAAACAATAACATAATAAATGCACAACAAACTAATATGTCTGATAGTCTAATTCAATATTAGTGTGCGATGTTTTTTTTTCATCAATGACAGCTATTTTGTTTATTCTTGTCCTTAAGAAAGTCTAGAAATGCAATGATGAAAGACTGTTCTTGTTTAAAACACTGTAAATGCAGTATTTGTTTATAGTCTTATGGTAAATTGCTTTTGAAATGGCAAATAATTATCTGTCAGAGCCAGTTTAAATGAATATTGTTTGATTGTTGATTAATAATGGCTAAAACATATTTCATTCTATAAAGAATTGCTTCATCTCCTTTAAGCCTATAGTGTCCTGTTGAGTCTTCGGTAAGGTAAGTGCATTTTGATTCTTTGGTAAAGTTCTATAATCAAAATGCAAAGTTAATATTGAAGCTGTAACAAGTTAAGTTAGCTTTGGGAATTATTTGGATTTTAAAATCCAATAAAAATAGAAATAAACTATTAACAGCCATGTAGGCTATCTATACTACTACACTTTCAGAAATAAAGGTACAGGAGCTGTCACTAGGGCAGTACCTTTTCAAAAGATACGTACTTGTACCTGAAGGATCCATGTTGTTACCTCAAAGGTACTTTTTAGGTACATTTGGGCACTAAAATGCATGATAGCATCACACAGTTGCTGCAGATTTGTCGGCTGCACATCCATGATGCAAATCTCCAATTACACAGCATCTCAATTGCTCTATTGGATTGAGTTCTGGTGACTGTGGAGGCCATTTAAGTACAGTGAACTCATTGTCATGCTCAAGAAACCAGTCTGAGATGATTCACGCCTTATGACATGACGCATTATCCTGCTGGAAGTAGCCATCAGAAGATGGGTACACTGTGGTCATAAAGGCATGTACATGGTCAGCAACAATACTCAGGTAGGCTGTGACGTTGACACGATGCTCAATTGGTACTAATGGGCCCAAAGTGTGCCAAGAAAATATCCCCCACACCATTACACCACCACCACCAGCCTGAACCGTTGATACAAGGCAATATGGATCCATGCTTTCATGTTGTTGTTGTTGACTGATTTTACAATCCGAATTTCTCAGCAGATATTGAGACTCGTCAAACCAGGCAACATTTTTCCAATGTTCTATTGTTGAATTTTGGTGAGCCTGTGCGAATTGTAGCCAACAGGAGTGGCAATCCGGTGTGGTCTCCTGCTGCTGTAGCCCATCTGCCTTAAGGTTGGACATGAGACATGTTCAGAGATGCTCTTCTGCATACCTCGGTTGTAACGAGTGGTTATTTGAGTCAATGTTGTCTTTTTATCAGCTTGAACCAGTCTGGCCATTCTCCTCTGACCTCTGGCATCAACAAGGCATTTGCGCCCACAGAATTGCTGTTCACCGTATATTGTCACATTTTTGGACCATTCTCTGTAAACCCTAGAGATGGCTGTGTGTGAAAATCATAATATTCAGATAGATACAGTAAATTTTCAGCAGATTCTGAAATACTCACACCAGCCCATCCGGCACAAACAACCATGCAACGTTCAAAGTCACTTAAATCATCTTTCTTCTCCATTCAGATGCTCGGTATGAACTGCAGAAGATCGTCTTGACCATGTCTACATGCCTAAATGCATTGTGTTGCTGCCATTTGCTTGAACAAGCAGTTAGACAGGTGTACCTATTAAAGTGGCCTGTGAGTGTATATATCTTTTGAAAAGATACTGCCCAAGTGAAAGTTCCTGTACTTTTATTTCTGAGAGTGTGGATTTATTTTCGTCAAAGTTTACATTACCTTTGGACCCTTGTGCAACACATATTTTAATTCATATTTAATATTATATTGCTATTATAATGTAATTATAGTTTAGTTCATTAATAATTTATCCGTTGACTTCATATTTTAGCCTTTCTTGTATATTTTGCAATTATATCTTACATTTTAAGCTATTACATTTCATTTTTTATTTAGCCTAAATAATGAAGAATGTAGCCTATACGCTGTAATTATGAAGCAAAACCACATATTTGTACATGACAAATGTGAACTTAATTTGAAAATAAAAGAGGCTTACTCTGAACTCCATGTGGATCCACATAAACTGAGAAAATTAAAATGATGTTTTTCTCATCAAACGTTTGTATGCCAGCAAAGAGGACAATTATGTTGTAATTATGATTCTTTATAACAAACTGTAGGGTAAATATTTAATTTTAGATAAGTTTTGACTGATTTGGGACAAGTGTGCATTTCGATTGAGAGTTGTCCAACAGCTGTTTTTTTATTGTAAACATGTACAAACTTAGGAGAAGAAAGAAGAAGATACATCTCTCAACAATTATGAACATTCATTTTCTTTTCGGCTTAGTCCCTTCATTAACACAACGGAATGAACCGGCAACTTATCCAGCATGTTTATGCAACGAATGCCTTTCCAGCTGCAATCCATCATTGGGAAACACCCATACACTCATTTACACCCAGACACTACGGGCATTTGATCACCCAATTCATTCATAGCACATGTCTTTCGACTTGTGGGGGAAACCGGAGGAAACCGACGTGAACAAGGGGAGCAGGGACAGATTTAGTGATTTGGGGCCCCAAGCAATTGCAGCCATGTGGCCCTAAAGTTCTAAAATGCACCTTTTGTACTTTCATTTATTTCAATGCTGTTATCTTTGCCGTTATATAACTTGCTCTCTTTTTCTACATTTTATTTTAATGCAGAATAACATGTAAAGCATCTTGTAACACCTTATAAAACTTTGGAATTTGAAATCACAACTAAAAATTGAACTAATTCAATAAATGAAGAATTTAGTTTTTAAAATTAAATCTACTGATTTGTCTGGTCCATGATTAAGGGTGGGGGACACATTTGCGCAGATGTAATAACTACATCCAAATTTTCATCATACAAATTATAATGGGAAAAATGTTATATAATTTATATAGGTATAATTCTAGGTATTTATTTAGGGGTCCTCTGATTTCCTGGAGCCCTAAGCGGCTGCTTACCTTGCTTATTGGTTAAATCCGTCCCTGAAGGGGAGAACATGCAGACTCCACACAGAAATACTAACTGACATAGCTGGCTCGAACCAGCGGCCTTCTTGCTGTGAGGCGACAGCGCTACCCACTACACCACCAATTATGGACAAAATAAATAAAAATGAGAGAAGTTATATTAAATTATATTATATATTCTTGAACAATACGACAAAAATTGCTAGAGTTTTCTCCACTTCAAAACGTTCAAATAAATCTTTTACTGGATAAATTCTGTGTAAAATTTTAAAAAATACCCATCTTCATTATTACTTATTAAAATGTATCTTTTAGTAACTATACTTCCACTTAATGTTTCCAAATTCAGATGACCTGAAGACTGTTGAACATTTGACCATTTTGACGGATGTAAACAATGCCATAACGTATCGAAAACAAAACCAACTTAACCGCGCTCTTCCAGTTTTACATTTTTTATTTCTATAGCTTTCCTAGAGTCCAAAAATGGCACGTAGCGTATTAATAATGTTATGACAGCTGCTTTAACGCTAAGTTATGACAGAATTACCTCTTGCTACAGTTATGAAATAGTTTGAAATGCTTATGGGCCAGCGACATCAACATGAACACACTGAAATGGTCTATATGAGTATTTGTTTGTGCGATGTGACAGCTGTGTTGAATTAATTAATTTAAAATCGACGTCACGCGTTTCAAACGGAGGTCAGTTAAAAACCGTTGGTGGTCATTAGAGTCCTATTCAACACAAAGTCCGTCGAGAAGCTTTGGTGACTTGTTTAAAGGTAAAACTTGTTTTTAAAAATATGTTTACGTACATAAACGCGACTTATAATAAAACAACAGTAACAAATAAGGTTACTTTAGCAGTCTTTTTTGCTTTTATTATCAGCCGAATTCCATCAATCGCATCTACTCGACTCGACGTTTCTTATTCTGCTAGCATGTCAAAGGGGAAAACCTCAACACTAAAGCATTTCGGTGTATAGTTCTGAGGGTTTTTGAAGTGATATATTTCGTTTGACTCCACAGCATGCAAAAAGCATTCAACTTCAAACTGTTGGTGCCCTCAAGAGCTCATTTACATCAAGTGTCTGCAGTGAAGCCTCAGGAAACAGGCTTGTTTGAAGAAAAAACGCTTTTTTCTGCTTCAAATCAGGTTGGCAAACTTCTTTGTTTGTGGTACAATGTTGCTAACGTTATTTGACCTCTGGCTGCTAAAACTACTG